AGAGAGAGAGAGAGAGAGAGAGAGAGAGAGAGAGAGAGAGAGAGAGAGAGAGAGAAAGAGAACCCCACCAACCCCTCCTCGTGCTTTTTGTCCTGCTGCTGCTGCTGCTGCTGCATCTCCTCCGCCTCCTCCTCCTCCTCGGTATTACATCATCTTCAGTCACACTTCAAGGTCGCCCCTTCTTCATTGTGTTGCTCACTGGCGTTATATCTGATTGCAGCGATCTTTGCCACTGCCTTTGTTGTTGCGTCTCTGTATGTGCCATGCTTCCTCTTCACTGATCGTTCTCTCAGGCTATGTGTGCGTGTGACGGGTCTCTCCTTTCTCTATTTGTTTCAACAACCAGCTCAGGTTGGGCATTCAGTTGGTAGCTGTCTCTTATACACATCTAGATGTGTTCTATCTCTCTCTCTCTCTCTCTCTCTCTCTCTCTCTCTCTCTCTCTCTCTAGCTTGATGTTCTGTGGAGCTTTGCAGCCAGCGCTTCATTTTTGGAATCAGACTCATCCTCATCCGATGAACTACCAGCGTAGTACAAGAGCAGAGGGAGCTGTTGGAAGCGTCTGGCGGCGTCCGGTAGGCCCTGAAGCGGCCAAAAAATACCGGGGGCATTTTTGGGGGGCGGTAGGACCCAAAAAACGTCCTAGCCCCCCCCCAAGAAAAATTCGAATTTTCAAAATTGGGCCCAATCCAGACCGACCGGACCAAACACCGGACCCATACCCAGACAACCGGACCGTCTGGATTCCGGTCCAGACATCCGACCGGTTGCCGTTTTTTTTTTTTTTTTTTTCCCCTGAACTTGTTCTCCTATCAGCTGCATCTTCAGTCTTCGCAGGGGGGCACAGGATCTGCACCCTTTTATTTCACAACACAGCTCCCATATTCCATGAAATGCATGCCATCTTCAGCCGAATACAACGTAGGCTGTACGGTTCCTACGGTCCTTACCACTGTATCTAGACTGAAAGTTGCCCCAAATACATTTATAATTACCATACATTGCGTACATTCTGTTTAAGGAAAGCCTGTAGAGGTGAGTTTACTAGTATACTATGCTCTCTTGAACTGTGAAGAAAAGGTAAACTGCCCCCCTCTTAAGCCGCTAGTACATGCCCCCAGCCTTGCTGAAAAGAAAAAGTTAAAAAAACTCATCGCCTACGCAATTTTCGGAGGCCCAGCGCCGTAGATAAATCGAATCACCGGCAGGTGGCCTCCGAAAAGGGCCCGCGGCCGATAATAACTGGATATGTACTGGTGGTTTAAGTCGAGAATCAACCCTCCATCCATTCAGTCACTGCAAGTCAGGATGGATTGGACTCCAAACTCTAAAAGATGACAGCTGAACTGTCAAAACTGAAAGTTTTTAACCTTCAAAGTGTTGAAAGTTTTTAACCTTCGAAGTGTTGAAAGTTTAACCTTCAAAGTTGAAAGTTTAACTTTTTTTTTTTTTTTGTGGGSGGGGGGGTGGGTGGGGGGGGAGGGAATCTTTCCCTTGGGTTGTCGTTTGCGGAACCAACTGGTCGTTTGTAGAACAAAGAGCTGAGTTGGGAAGTTGGAAATATCCCGGGTCTTCGTCTTGCCACCGCATCATGTGGACGGCAGGCCGCCGGTCGTTGGTGGTAATCGCCGTTCGTGTACAGATCTATCATCTATGTTCTGTTTGTCAAGCTTAGTCAGTGTTTTTTTTTTTTTTTTTTGTTAAACTGGTTACCTTGTGTGTTCTGACCAAATTTGTCTGTGGTAAATTAGGTTGGGGTGGGACATAATGTGAGCTCGGGGACGACAGGCTGGAAATGGAAACTGACGTCACCGCTGACGGACTGGACTTCACAGCAGTGGAGGCGTAAAGCAACCATCCCTGTGTGCCCTGGGCTGGACATGCGGATTGGATGGCAGGCAGAGTATATCATGCCTAATTTGCAAGGGTACGTATGCATAATGAGTGAAGATGCTGCAGCTGCTCCTCCTCCTTTCTCTTCCTTCTGTTCTTTATCTCTCCTTCTCTTCTGCTCTCGCTTCTTCTGCCTCTTCTTCTGCCTATCTCCTTCTGCCTCTTCTTCTGGAGAGAGAGAGAGAGAGAGAGAGAGAGAGAGAGAGAGAGAGAGAGAGAGAGAGAGAGAGAGAGAGAGAGAGAGAGAGAGAGAGAGAGAAAGA